CAACAACAAATTCCCTTAGAGGTTAGACTTGACACCATTTATTAAAATTTGCAACTCTGAAATTTGATGACCAATATCAAAGAATCCCTTGTATTAATGAGAACTATCATTCTCTTATGAAACCATCTGTGCATAACATCTAAAGCTTGACAATTCAAGAAAATGAAACCCACAAAACTGATTAATCCAAGTTTTAAAACTGTTTCCTCATTATCCTTTGTATAAAAAGTACTCTATAAAGAAAAACTATATAAAATGATTAATCATGCATGCACTCTCAAATAGCATGGCATTTAGCAACGGGAGAGGATAAAGACATACAAAAACTATATTTTAACAAGAATATGATAGGGTGGCTAGAAAGGAATGGATCCTTATAGAAGTTCATAGACAGGAGGAAGAAGAGAAAAGTGAGAGTTAGACTTTGAAAAGAGAGATTTAGAAAAACAGTATAATAAAGTTGGAAAAATTCAGTGTACCTTTGGTGAAGAATATTGCAGGAGAAAAGTAGAAGATAAGTTTGGACTGGGTTGTGATTATGAGGTCTAGCAGAAAGGTTTCTAAACAGGTAATAGATGTGATTTATTCACCGTGTAGCACAACTGGAGGGTAGAATTAAGGATATTGCTGTCAAAGCACAAAGGTGGAAGCATTTGTACCTGCACGGAGGCTAGGGCAATTGTACAGGCAAGGCACACACCTACAAGGGCAGGATATGGATGGTAACAATGTATAAAAGTATGTAAGATATTTTCCAGGAAATGGGAAAGAAGTCAATTTCACTAACCAAATAGATGTATGGAATGAGACAGAAGAGACAAAGTCAATTAAAAAGCTTTCAAATATGTGAAATGCAGGACAAAAATACAACTAGGAAAGAAAGGATGGAGAGAAAGTTGGGGATGATGGTCAAGATGAGGACAATTTTTTTTTCTTGTTAAATATGGATGCTGGAAAACCACCCAAGGAAGTGGGCAACAGGCCATGTAAAAGCTGGTTTGAGCTTAGCAGAAGGACAGAGCTAGAGAATATGGTGACATCTAAGCATAAGAGATAGTTGAAACCAGGGTAGAATGTCATATTATTGTTTCACCAGTGTCTGTTTCCCCTCCCTGGAGAAGAATTATTCTTCCCTGCTCCATTGTAATCATGCTTGGCCATGAGACTTGCCAGTGAAAAGTGACAGGAATATTATGTGTCACCTTCACTAAAAGATTTTAAGAGCTTGTTGATTCATAACCCTCTGCCAGGGAACTGGGGTGGTGTCCACACAGTGGTTGCTTCATCAGCTTGGCCCTGTTGAAAATATCACTTTCGCCTGTAAATTTTTCTTTCGTGTAAATTCACCAACCTAACACTTCTCATTAGATCACAAGAACTAAAATTATGCTTGGGGAGCATCTTCTTGCCCAGAGATAGATGAACTAGGCTTTCTATGAGCAGTCAGTGGTTGATAACTGAATTCCACCCTCAGCACACTACTTCAGCATGTACAGTGACACGGACTATGGGGAAAATAAAACAAGGTCATAAAGTTAGTGAATAGGAGCCTATCCAATAGGTTGTTTAGACATGTTTGTTACCCCACAGCAGTAAATAAAACTATTTGTATTAATAATTAATATATGACTTAGGAATTTAAGGAGAATTAGCAATAAAAAATATCTTTTTATCAAGCGTGCAATGACAATTTGTTTATGAGTAATACATATCTTGTATGTTAGAGAAAACTCCAAAATGAATTTTCTAATTCTAGTCCATACCATTTCTTGCCCATTTCACAACTATTGCCCCAACCCTCCCTGAGGGTTCTCATCTCATGCTTAGCATTTTTCAAAGCAATTAGTCTTTTTAAAAAAATATATATAGGCCGGGCGTGGTGGCTCACGCCTGTAATCCTAGCACTTTGGGAGGCCGAGGCGGGTGGATTGCTCAAGGTCAGGAGTTCGAAACCAGCCTGAGCGAGACCCCGTCTCTACCAAAAATAGAAATAAATTAATTGACCAACTAAAAAAAATATATATACAAAAAAAAAAAAAAAAAAAATTAGCCGGGCATGGTGGCGCATGCCTGTAGTCCCAGCTACTTGGGAGGCTGAGGCAGTAGGATCGCTGAGTCCCGGAGATTGAGGTTGCTGTGAGCCAGGCTGACGCCACGGCACTCACTCTAGCCTGGGCAACAAAGTGAGACTCTGTCTCAAAAAAAAAAAAAAAAATATATATATATATATATATAGTATATAATAGGATTTTTTTCCACATAATTATTTTTATTGAAATGATTTAGTAAAATGAGATCTAATACATCACTATCTTATCTATATGGATAACTCCACAAATCATAAAGCAGCCTTGTGCATTAAGAAGAATTAAATTTTTTTATTATGTAAGACTATTTGATCTTTAATTCTAGACTTTTACTTCCCTCTGCTTCTGCCAAGTGTTTAATTGTTTAACCATTCTAGGAAACTATCTCAGAGATTCTTTTTTTTTTTAGATGGTGTCTCACTATGTTGCCCAGACTGGGCTCTAACTCCTGGGCTCAAGTAATCCTCTCTCCTCAGCCTCTCGAGTAGCTGGCATGTACCATTGCACCTGGCTCAGAGACTTATTTTGTTTTTAGGGTTGTACTCCTAACCCATATGGAAAAATAGGCAGTAATAAAAAGAATAGGTAATTTTTTTGAGAAGTCTCAAATTTGTCAGCCTTGGCACCTCCGATTTATATTGTAGTACAAATGGGATGAGAAACCATGGAATGGCTGCAGCTTTCTTGGGCTACTTCTCATAGATAGTTTTGTGGAAATTCCAGTTTAAAGACAGAATTCAACTTAAAACTTCTCATATAGTCTCTCCATCTATATGGCTTGTTTTTTTCTAAGTTCTTGTGGATTAGGAAAGCAGCATCCTTCCTAAGACCCCTGGCTTACTTCCTTTGGCTTTAGGATACTTGCACTAACTTTACAGACTGTACCATCCCTTCTGACCTTCTGGAATTTTTTCTAGATCCAACTTAAAAGGGTGTTTCACCATTTCAACGTCATTTACACCCTTAGGTAAGTTCTAACATGTTTATTTTAGGTGGTTTCTCTTCCATAGCCGAATCCAAAATTTGTTACTATTCAATTTCTAAAAGCACAGAGCCTGGATAATCGCCACCCTTCACATTCCAGTCTCTAAGTTGGGGAGTGGGGGTTTGTGCTCATGATGCTCTTGCATATCAAAGACCACACATAGCCTTTCCTAATCCAAGTCATCAGCTCTACTCACCATGCACATAATATTTTTAAATAATGTGCATCCTTAACAGGATTTTTCTTTTGCATTTTAAAAAGAAGTTAAGATAACCCAAATATCCATTTTTGATAAAAATATCTAGGGGTAGAAAAAATTAGGGGCAAAACCAAAGATATTATTCTAGCCCTTTACATGAAACTCACCTCTTTGTTCTCCCTACCTATTACTTTGTTTGCATTAGAAAGATTTATGCATTTCTCTATGTCAAGTATGGCTTTGGAGTCCCCATCTGTGCCCGATATCTGAGAGCAGAAATTATACTCATCTGCTTCATTACCACTCATTCCCCTAGAGCCTCCCTCCCCAAATAAAGCAGAGAGTCTTCAGTTATTAAAGACAAATGCATTTCCTATAAGGTTTTACAGTTACATTAATAAAATGGCATAATCCAAGTCTTGCTCTGGATACAAAAGAAGTAAATATGACAGCATTTCCTTTTTCCCCTTTAGTACATGGTGGCACAAACTTGGATAAATCAGAGAGTCAGAGTGGTGAAAGAAAATGTAGATAGACATTTTACTCAGCACCTGCACCATGCCAGACCAGGTGCCAGGGGACAAAGATGACAGATGCACTCAGCCTTGGGGAGTACACAGGGTTCTCAGGGAGAGGGGCATGATACACCTACCAATAATACCTGGGTAAAGGACATGCAATGTACCATGGGAACTCAGAGAGAAAAATCATTATCCCTTATAGATTCACATGGGAGAAAGCATTACCTCAGACGCTTGGAAGAACCTATATGTGTAATAAAGTTGTTTCAATCTGTTCTATTTGTTCACTGTTTATAATTTTATATTTGCATCAGTGATGGCCAGAAGATTCTATTCTAGTTAAGACATTACCATCATCGACAACGCGAACATTTCCTCACCATCGCCATCTGCATGGACTGGAAAACAATTGACAGTTACCAGCCCTTCTCTTCTAGGAAGTGACTTATTAAAGGTACATCCATGAAGCACACAGGATTTCTTTTTATGTGAAATCTGAGGACCAGTGGCCTTATATTTAAAATGCCAGCTTAGGGAAACCCCACTGGCTTCCCCTCCCATGAATAAGCTGGTCGTTTGCAGAAGCTATCCCAAGGGGCCTTTCAGAGGCCATTATTTCACTGTGAAGACTCTGTTAAAAAGAGTAATTGGTATCAATAACACTTACCTGTGTATGTAGAGGGAAGGTTACCCAGCCATAACAAGCCCAGAATCACACAGCCACTACTTAAAACAATGCAGTGTTTGGAATTTATGAGAATAAAGCCTGTCAGTAATAATGCCCTTATTGGGGCCTTCTCGATTCATTTAGCATACTTTGCTGTGTACTCACAGTTAAATCAAATCTGCCATGCAGGTATAAATAAGCTAAGGTGCTGCATACAAGATGCAAACGCTACACATGGAAAAGGTTCACTTCTCAAAAAGCATTACGGTGGACACGGCTTCAAATGCCTTTTACGATTATTGTGTTGCTCTAAAACAGCCATAGGACTCTTTCAAAATGCAAAATCTGGAATATAACTAGCAATTATCTTAATCTCTTAAGGACATTGGAAAAATGAGGGGAAACAATCACAATTCTACAGAGAGATGGTTCAAGTGTGAATTAATGTGGCAGATACATAAGTAAACACACATGGGGTTAGACAAGGGAGGGAATCCCCAAACAATGACAAGGACAACAACAACAAAGATCATCGCTTAACCTGTTTTGTCAGAGCTGGTATTGATGGTATTGGTAGTGATGGAGGTGAAGGTAGTCTTTGCGCTGTCCTTGGAAGTTACAGATTTCTGCTTATTTTTCATGGCTTCCAGTGCTTTGAGCTTCTTGGCATGTTTCGTGCCTTTGTAGTGGGCCGCAGCCTGGCTCTACAAAGGAGAACAAAATGAACCATGCAATCAGGCTCATTTCTAAACTGGCATTCTCTGTATTACCACAAATACAGACTCCCTTTCAATAACAGGTACCATTCAAGCTAATTCTGGCCGTGGCCAACCAGTGGGGTTCTATTTAGAATGATGCTAGAAAGCAATGGGAATCAAGTTCTAAAACCTTAGGACAGAAGGAAGAAATATTCTATTGCTTCTCCTAAGAGAAATGTAGCTGAACACTGACACATCAATAACGTTTTCCTTGTGGAGTGGGGGGAAAAAAATAAGAATTTACACCTGTGTTGCCTTTGTTCTGCCTCAGAAGATGCTGGGCTTTCAAAGATTAACAAGGGCCCTAGAAAAAAGTAGCTCTCGCCTTCTTGGCTTGGAAAATGTGTTTTCTTTTTCTACAATACGTCTTATTAATACAGTCCCCAACAGGTGTCTACAAGGAAAGGTTCACACATAACAAGGGAAGTGGGCACCCTGGAGACTGAGACTGAAGCTTGACAGTTCAAAAGCAAATGTACTGCTTAAGTCCAAATGGAGTGCATGGAAGCTGGGCAATTTTCTGATTCCTTCTCTTTGCTTCTTACGGAAAGTAGTCTACGAAATTGAAAGTAGTGTCCATCTTTCAGCGCATGGATCTTTCATGCCTCAGCCCATTGTTAGGAGGCTCCAGTGTGTTTGACTATCTAATGGGGCCATTGCAATTCTTTAGCCTGTGCTTCTGAGATTTCTTTTTTTTTTTAAGAAGGATATACATTTTCCCAAGTTTTATTACTCTACTACTATTTTTTGGGGAAAGGAGGCTTGGCAAAACACATTAAGACACAAAATCATATTTAAAGAAATGTCTGTGCATTAATATTTATTTATTGGAGGAACAAAGCCTTTGTAACTGGAGGATGGGGTGAGGAGTGGATAGGGAGAGCTTCTTATATCGGGAGATTTTCCAGGTCAAAACCTGTAAACATATCCCCCACAAAAGGGATCTCGGCAGAGGACTATTCCTGCTAGATTACCCATTCCTTCCCATTGCTTATTTAAGCTAAAGATTCCATTTTGTCAGGAAAATAATAATCATATTGTCCTATCCATTATAGCAACTGTTATAAGGATGGTGGTTTTGCAGGATAATATCTTTTAATAAATAAATATATAGTCCACATTTTTATTTGCATCATTCTGACAAACTATGCTCAAAGAATTAGGTACCCTTATTGAAAGCACACTGGACAAGGAAATTATATATTAGAAACAGTCTGAACAGAGAGCACACTCATGCATCAGTAACAAGTTTCCCAACAACACATAACATCAAGACATACTGTGAGCCAAAATATGGAGTTAAGACGTGCTATAGTTAATTGAGGAATCAGTGACAGATTGGATTGGTTTGCTTCTACATAGAGAATGCCACTTTGATGATAGAGTTGTCTCTTTTTTTTCCTGCCTAATTCTACTTTTTAATACATCAAGTCCTTTGGCCATAACATTTGGGAGTAATATGCTACATTCAATTAAATCCATAAAATAGTTGTTCATTTTCTTTAGGCATTTGGCTACATAGCTTCCCTTAAAACAGAGCTCTTCTCTTCTCTAGGCTGCACCCTTTCCTCTGGTCATAGAAGTGAATATTTTATATAGAATATATATTAAAAACTCAGGTTTAGATTGTGATATCTCTAGTTATATGTACATAATATACATTTCATAGGTTACTAGGAAATCTATGTTCTCAGTGGTACTCAAAATTAGACAAGACTTTGTTATTGTTTTAACATGTTACAGGACCAAGGGGATGTCACCATTTTTGAAATTAGAAAAGTTACTCAAAAAGAACCCCACAAGTTAAGAGAGTACATACACCAACAAACAAACAAACAAGTAAAAATGTCTGTACAGGTACAACTAAACTAATGCTCTCCTGCAAGTGAGATGGCTCAGGGAGCTGTGGGTGAAGGAGGTAACAAAATGACCAATTGAGTCACCTAATATCTTAAAATGCAAATCAAAATAAAATGCATACTCACTCATTCATTGAGTGATAGTCCCAAAGTATCTTGATAATTATTTTAATTATAAACTATCTGATTTTTTTAAATAGACAACTAACTCTTTTTCAATTTGAAAAAAAAAAAAAAAGAAATGAAGTGAAAGTCCAAAGTGATACAGAGAAACCAAGATTATGTTGAACTTAGGAGGAATGGAGTACAGTGGGGTGATGGGAGCAGTGTGATTGTGATTGTGTAGGGTGTGTATGTGTGTTGGGAGTAGAGGTTGGCCATACAAGTTGGAAACCTAATATAGACAGATAACCCCTGTAGATATTTAAAATTTTCTTTATCATTGACTTTTATTATATTTGTAGAATTCATGGGACTACTCTTGGGTTAGCATACTATAAATTTTCTAATCTCTATATATCGACCCCATAACTGTAGGTCTACCTTGATTCAGGTGTGTTATATAAAGATGTGTTCTTTGCATGATGGCAGAAAACCTAGCCAGCTCTCATTATCCCTTTAGGCCATTTGACAGATATGGATAGACACATAGATTGGATAGGATAGATTATTCATCCACATCTTCACTTTCTGTGACTATAGAAAAAGCTTCCACCTAAGTGGGAATGCTGATGAGAGATTTTCAAAAAGCAGCAGTTGGCCAGAGATGTCTCTTTGGGCCTCTTCTGCTTCTCTTTTGGCCAGAGAGGTGAAGGATGGTTACACCACACACTAGCATATACTCCCTCTGAGGTCATTTCCTATCACTTATTAGCCAGTCTCTGAGTCAAGTCATTCCAAGACACCTAGGGACCATCAAGACACAAGCAAATTATTAGTTTTCACAGGAATAATTTTGAGGTTAAATAAGTGAGTATACTACTTTATTGTACCACATTTCAGAATTTTGTATTTTAAAACTAAATCAGAATCAGGTGATCATGGCATACACAGAGGTGAGTAAAATAATACGAATTTGAACTTTAACAACTTACTTTTGTTACATTGAACTGAGTTTGGCCTAAAGCTGCCTTTGAGCATATTGTAAATTTGGTCTAAATGTTTCTCCATACATAGTAAACTGTAGCCTAACTTGATGTATAAATAGACTGTAACCTACTCTTGCAACCTATAACCAAGTTTCAGCCAATCACAGCATCCCAAGTCCAGTCAATCACAGGCAGCCAATTGTTCAAACCAGGTTTAAATAAGGCAAACTTGGAACTTTAACCAATTGGGCTACCCTGAGCTAATTATTTCGGGAAATAGCAGACATAAGAGAAACTCTCTAAACAGAGAAGTTACTTTAAAAAAAAAATACATCTATAAAGGAAGTCTCTCTTTTTTACTTTGTTTCAGCAAAGGATGTTATTCAAGCCTAAAGTCAAAGCTACCTCTGAGTCTACTCTTGAGATACATCTCCCATGTATACCTGGGATATACATGTAAATAAACTTCTGTTTGTTTTCTTCTTCTTAATTTTTCTTTTGTTAAGAGAATCCATCCCAACTAAGAACTAAGAAGGGTAGAGGAAAGATTATTTTTTTCCCTTCCTATAACATTAAAATGTAACACCAGAAAAAGGAAAAGAGTGGTTATTAAAAGAAGTTGCCATCTTCCTTAGAGAGAAGAATGAACACTTGATCCAAGGGAATTCTTTTTTTTTTTTCCATTTCCTTTTAAAGAAAGTTATGCTATTTCTTAAATTTTAGCTTATATTGTTATTTTAGAGATAAAAAATTAGCCAATAAAACATGATATGGTATCCTGAACTCTAAATCACTTACTTCATATTTATATCTTGAGAAATATTAAAACTATGACTCCAGGAAAAAGTTTAAAATTTTGATTTATCTTTGTACAGTTTTATTTCTTTTATATTACACACACCTGCTCAAGCTTAGTAGTAAAGCAGTGTGCCCAGATGCAACCATATGGGTGAAGATCAGTCAGCATGCATTCTAATTGGACAGGGACTTTTTGAATAATTTGAATATTGTTTTTGTATACATCAGTTCAGCAGAAGATTTTCAAGTCCCTATTCTATGTTAGCTCCTTTATTGTCCACTCTCAACTTCATTTATACAAAACATTTGGTTCTCAAAGTCTCATCCCCAGACCAGCCATATTAAGATCTTGGTTTGGGGGATTGTTAGAAATGCAAATTCTTAATCTCTGTTCTGGACCTACTGAATCAAAAATTATGGGAGTGAGACTCAGAAACGGGTGATTCACAAGCCCTCCACGTGATTCTGATACATACTAAAGTTTAAGAACCCCTCATCTTTAAATATAAGTTTATTTTCTCTCCAACCAGCTGCTTCTTTTGCACTTCTTGCCGAAGTCCAGAGTTTTTAAGATTACTGTATAATCATTTGAAGATTGAACATTTACATGTGAATAATCTGTATCACCCAAGAAAAATTATCAAAAGATTCTTTCCTTAAAAACAAGTCAAAAGGCGGGGCATGGTGGCTCACGCCTGTAATCCTAGCACTCTGGGAGGCCGAGGTGGGCGGATTGCTCGAGGTCAGGAGTTCAAAACCAGCCTGAGCAAGAGCGAGACCCCGTGTCTACTATAAATAGAAGAAATTAATTGGCCAACTAATACATATAGAAAAAAATTAGCCAGGCATGGTGGCGCACGCCTATAGTTCCAGCTTCTTGGGAGGCTGAGGCAGTAGAATTGCTTGAGCCCGGGAGTTTGAGGTTGCTGTGAGCTAGGCTGACTCCACGGCACTCACTTTAGCTTAGGCAACAAAGCAAGAGACTCTGTCTCAAAAAATATAAAAATAAAAAAATAAAATAAAACACTAGCCTCAGCACAACCAAGACCCCATATCTACAAAAAGTAGAAAAAATCAGCCAGGTGTGGTGGGGTATGCCTGTAGTCCCAGCTACTTGGGAAGCTGAGGCGGGAGGATCACTTGAGCACAGGACTTTGAGGTTGCAGTGAGCTACGATATTGTACTGTCCTCATGCCTGCCC